GTTGTAGCTGTAGCAGTAGCAGTAGCAGCTGTGGTAGCAGTAGTAACGGTTGCAGCAGCAGTTGTCGTCGTCAAGGCAGTCGCTATAGTCGCTATGATTGCGTGAATTCTAAAGATTCTTCCCGAGGCCCTGCAGTAGAAGGCCTGGAGTTCCTTCATCTCCTGCGTTCGATTCTGCTCCCAGTCCTGAACGTACGGGGTCTTCAGCACTCCTCAGACATGGCTTGGATGATTTTCTTGGTTTTTGGACTTGCTACAGGTAGAAGCATCTGCTTGATATCACCTTTTGTGTTCTTGCTAGACTCGCTTCCAAGCCGAAAAACCATCTATCTGAAAAATCTTAACCAACTGCACGGATAAGGCCTTGTGTGGGAGGCTTCTGATGCTCGACTTCCGATGGTGCAGCACGCTTCTCCACCCGGCAGTTTCAACTTTGGGCTTAGATCCCTCTGGTCAGAAGCGGATCCCCCTAGCCGCGCCAACACGGCTAAGCTCGAAGCGAAATTCGACAGTCTGTTGTGGTCATTGGCCAAACGGGTTGCTTTGCCAGATCGCCAATACAAAGCCCTGTTGCATGTGCCCTATGACCTTGAACAGAGCACTGTTTCTGGGCCGTCCTCAGCCCCCGAAGCATGAAACTATGCAAAGACCCCAACCCAAACCCTGAATTGCTGAAGCTTGAACCTCGACACCCCACTCCCAGCCAGGTATAGCTGGAATAGGGTTCTGAAGCTTCAGGGTTTTATGGGGCATGCGCGGCAAATGAATGAACGCCCCGTTCAGGAGCCGATAATAATAAGAGTAAGGGCAGTACTTATCATAATTTCTTATACGAAGAGGAGAATGGCAACAATTAACATGACTATCACATGATTGCACTCAGCGTCCGCCCCGACACTGCAAGAGCGAAACGATCCAAGCTGGGAGAACTCAGAGGTCTCAAACCCAAGACCACCAACCCCTCGCCGAAACTCCAAAAGGCCCTTATCCGGGGTTTAGGGTTTAGGGTTAACCCAAAACCTCAACAGTAGATCCTGGTAAACCCGAAACTTTCTAGGCCGAGCTTCGCATCGGCCGGCCAGTGTAGATTGTGGTTCGGAGGGTGTCCTTGGAGTCGTGGGCAGCAGCACCGGAACGACCAGATTTATGATTTGCTTCAGGGGGTCCTCTTCGAAGAAAACATCAGAGTTTGCCAAGGAAGAATTCCCCAAAGGATCATACTCAATCTGCAGCATTTCCCTCCTTTCTCCTGGAGTGGGAACCTGTGTGCTCTCGACAAGACACAGAAACCATGTTGTGGCGCATGCTCCACATTCATGTAGATACAGAGCTAGCAGCTAGATAGACGGGATGATAGATGGATGGGTAAGGGGGATAAGGTAGGCAGCTTGCATGCATGCATGCATGCATGTGTGCGGTATATATACATATACACATGTATACGTATACATATACAGAGAGAGATGTACACATGTCAAGCCTTCCTTACTGAGTTTGTTTGCACCAAGGCCCAGATCATTCTGCCCAAGATCACCGTGACTGGTTCAACCGAAGCTTATGACTCATCTCCAAACCCATGTACTCCGAACTCACTTCTTTCAACATAACAAGTTCCACGCATCGTTTCTCGTTGCGCCTAGAGTCGCTAAAGCCCGCGTCCATGATGCGCTGCTTGTGAAAGGGACCAGCGCCGGCTTCATCTGAGCAAATGAAGCCTTAGCAGGGGGTACGGTTATAAGTACCCTAATTGGGGTTATAATGATAGTTACCTTATTTATAACCCTATAGTACTAAGTCCCATGATCCTCCAAGTAGTTACCGGCTCTTTGCGCAGAAGACTCGACACTCTGTTTGGGGGGTTGGCAGTACAACTTAACTTCGCAGTTTGCGCAACGGGTAGAATGTAACTGGCTTCCAGTTGAACCCCGGGATACACAACACTTTAAATTAGCTTCAGAGACCTACAGCTCTTAACAACCCAAAAAAGCCCAGCAGCCGCAGACTGCACGGATAGTCCTGCTAAAACCCAAAGCCGCCGAGGTGCGAGTGCCCACCCAAACGCCCGTGCAGCCCATGGCCAGTGCCGAAGCCAATCCACGCCCGTCGAAGATACCGCCTGCTGCCACCTGAGACTGAGAAGACTTTTGAGTTCACGGCGGCACTGCTACACGGACCGGATGCTTTCCTTCGCGAAAGCTCGACAAAGCGCTTCCCAAGTAACAACGGTCGCACTGACAGCGCAAATGCATCAGTTCGAGGTTGGATGGACCCCTTCCATGTACTGCGTATCAGCACCTCTTTGAAAGCTCTCTTTAATCTAACCCTAACCTTCCAGGTACCTACTATATAGGGCCCTGGGCGCTCTAGTACCCTATACAGTAGGTATATAGGGTAAGGCATCCCATGTCCTGATTAAGCTCAGACGCCGATGATTTGGAGCCGAGGCGCAACCTGGATAGGCCCTCCGGTCAGCGGGGACTTCTTCCCCCGCACGGCATCGACCACCTTGGGCAGCAAGATGGCCGTGGCTGTGTCACCTCGTTCAGGGATGCAAAGTAGCTGCTTATTGGTAAACTCGGCTCGTGTCTGCATCTTAAACCCCCCAGTTACCTACTATATAGGGTAATTACTAGAGCCCCTAAGGCCCTATATAGTAGGTAGATGGAGGGTTAGGGAGTTTACTCGGTGCAAGCAGGCATGAAAGCGGCTTCCTCCCAGCCGCAGGATCTGGAGCTGACAGCGGCGTGAGAGTGACATTGACAGGAGCAAGTCCCCGCAACAGCCAGAACCCTAAGGAAGTCAACTCAAACAAAAGATACATAAGTCTCTGCACTGCGGCAGCAATATTGGCAAACGGCCAGTACATGGGTGCAGTACTGCAAGTATCTACAGGCAGTGATCAAGCGCCATGAAACTACACGCTTCAGAAATGCCTGTGTGGCCACCGCCCTCGCCACCCTGAGCGCAAATGATGTCCTCGGGAGAGCTTTCGAAGGAAAGGGCAAGAACCGGCCAACAAAAACATAAACTCCGAATCACCAAGTTCAAATGGCATCCTCAAATCGAGGCACGCACACAAGAACTCACGCCAGTGCCAAGTGACGACGCCTGCTTCCACAGCCTTGTCAACGTGCTTCACAGCGCCGATCATGTTCATGACCTTTGCAAGGCGATACCGTGCTGACATCCTGCCAACCTAACCCGGCAAGGAAGGCACCGCAAAGCTCAACCTCCTCGCAAAAAACGATCCATACACACATCTACCTGCATAAATACATCTATATATATATACACACTATATGTATGTATGTATGTATGTATGTATGTATGTATGTATGTATGTATGTATATGTATGTAAGCATGTATACTTATATGTATGTATAGACACACAAGCAAATGTACTCGAACATCAGTGTGCATGGGCAAATATGTTATTTCAATGTATATGTATATTTTCATGTTGTATGTATGTATATATATATAGATCTATGTATTACATTTAATAGAAATACATGTGTTCAACGTACAAAGAAGCTGGACGCAAATCCCACAGACCCATACGACTACTCCCCGTCCTTTCAACCGTCCTTCTCCCGTGTTCCCGAATAGGGTCGAGCAGCAGGAATGCCGGCGTTGTGAAACTTGTCCACGGCCCACTTGGGCGGCACACCGACAGCGCAAATGAACAGTGCTGCCTGCAAAGCAACGGTGGTTGCCGTCCAGTGGATAGACATACAGACATACATAAATACACACGACTGCATAAATAATGTTAAGTCTATGTACGCATACGGAGCGTGTTTGTATAACCCTTTGTCAACAAGCATGTAAGAGTATATAAGAAAACAAATATATATATATATAATCATACAGATCAGACTGTAAGATACGTCCCTGCATGCAGGTGTCGGCATCCACCACTGTAGGTGGATGTGTAGATACATATATGCTTATATTTATGTACACACAGATTGTTTGTGTGTGTATGTGCATACATTGTACCTTATATATATATATATACATACATATAGGTACGTCTAGACATGCAGAAGCTTGTCTGAATTTATAATGATTGTAGATAAATATACACATACATGCATGCACACATACATGCATATATGTATGTGTACATGTATATATATATATATATGTATGTGTGTGCAGGCCAATAAGTACACAAAAGATGAATAACAAAGCCATGAATATATATATATATATATACATATGTACAAGTGCACGTAGATGTATAGGTATGTGGACGGTGCATCAGGTTATATTGTAATATATTGTGTTATTGTATTGTATTGTGGTATATCGTATTATTTGTTATGATATGATGTTTTATTGTATCATACTATATTATGTCGTATTATATTATAACGTATTTTTATTTTCGTATATCTTCGTATATCATATTACCTCGAGAATCATTCGTAATACTTATTTCCATCCGGGGCTGGTTTGTAATACTTTTGTTGGAACTCGTATACTTTTTGGGGCTCGCGTACTTTTCCGGGGATTCGCACACTTTTCGGTTTCGGGATGTTTTAGAAGGTTTAGAGAGCTTTGAATGCAATCTGACATGGATTACAGCTTGAATGGCTCATATGGGTCGCCGTGCTCTTCCTCCCCACCGTGCGCCCTGACATGTGTGTTTGTGCACGCATGCCCACATTCTCGATCTCCCGCAAGTAGTTCCTCGGATATCCACGCAGGTACTCGTGATGGCAGTGGCTTTGTCTGGCTTTCGGGAGAAGGACCGAAGCCCTGCCCTCTTTCTTGATTTTGGGTGAGGTTACGCATGATTGCAAGCAATCGTTGACTTGATCGATTTGCTCAAAGCATCACTGCATTTGGGATGATATATGTGCTGTCACATCTGACATCAGCAGCCGATCAAAGCTAGCAGTGGCATACCCCGGAGAACAGTAGTGCTGGTCCTTACTGGGTTCTTCGGGTTCTGTTGTGGCTAGGACGGTCAGACCGATCTAGTTTGAGCTGTTGCCATGGACAAAGCTCTTGAAGACAATGAGCCCGAAGCCGTCGAATGCGAGTGCGAGGTTTTGATAGCTTGGCGCAAAAGCGAAACCGTGCTGCGCAGGCTTAACCAAGGCATGCTTGTGCATTTGCCAAACGATGCGAAGAAGATTAAGCGTGAACACCTCGGCGAGAATGTTGACCTTTTGGCCCCCGTTCTTGAATACCTTGGCTCCTTGTTCTAATATACTGCTCCCTGCTAGCCCGATATGTTAAGCCCCAACCTATAGAGATCCTGAGCCCAGGCTTACGCCCCTCTGTGCACATGCTGGCAGAGTACTTCCGGAGGCTGTACATGTCCAGCCGGCCAATGCATCTTCGAATGCCCACGAGCTGCTAAGTTAAATTTGAATCGATAGCCCAACGTTTCTCCTCTTAGACTCATGCAGCCGATTATGTTCGATAAGCTTCCTCAGGTCACGAGATTCAAACACAGGCGTGGATGGCCCGTCGGCTGGTGACCTGTTTTAGTCAGTGTGCCAAGAGGCCACACGAGCCTCGACAACCAGGTGTTAGGCAGCTTTTTAAGAAAAGCGGGATCCCTCTACCGTCGAACTGTGCCCTACCTGCAGCCTACGCATGCAGCATCCTGTGTGATTCGTTCAGTCGATCGGAAACCGCAGTTTTGTTGTGATAAGCCCTAATCCCTAATCCCATCCGAGGTGGTTCCGTCCGGTCGGAGGAGTCCGAAGACGAAGGGGTGGATATTGAGGAGGGGGGCGAAGAAGAGGAACCTGAGAACGATGATGAGCTTCCTGATGAGATGGTCGAAAACCCCAGCCCCGCTACTGTGAAAGCTTCTTTGCTAAATCGATGGACACTGCTAGTACTACACGACCTCGCCACGATGATGATGGATAAAATGACACCCCGTCTAGGATTCACCGATCCGGAAGCTCGAGCTGCCAGGTCTCAGAAACTTACCAGCATTATACTACGTAATCCCTTGCACTTCAAAACCCTAAACCCTAAACCCTCCGATCGGCGGTTCCAAGGCTCTGGAGCTTCCTCGTCTTCGGACCCCATCGTGACTCCGCCTCCACGAGACAGGGGCTGCAATTATGTAGCACGTGTAGAACATGTGATCGGAGGTGTCGTTTCAGATATCCTGTGTGCATGTATATCATGCATGCATGCAATGCTATCAGCCCAGGACACCTGCCGGTGAGCCCACGAAGCCAAGCCAAAGCCCGCAAGGAGCACCATCTTATGAAAAATAAGGTTTGGGGCTATCTGTGTACTTTGTGCGGGAACCACGTGAGATCAAAGAAAAGCCTTGCTTCCCCCTCCCCGAAATTGGCGAGCTCAACGACGCCCCGGTACTCGAGAAAACCCCGCAGAAGGGCGTGAACGCAATGGTCGCAGAGGAACAAGTTCTTAGGGCGGAACTAGCGGAACTGGAGGAGCAGGAGAAGCAGCTAGCCATGCTTCTAGAACTTCAGCAGTTGCATGAGCAGGAAGCAGCACTGTTATGCCAGGGCCTAGATGAGCGAGAGGCTGAGGCCGTGCAGATGGCCACGGCACTTTCGTTGTCCGAAGCTGAAGCACGCGAGCGCAAGGAGGAGGAACCCGAAGAGCATGCAACAACGGACCGGGTAACGCATGAGACCACAAAGCTAGCTCCTACTGTTTCAGCTGAAAACATCGCAGCGGAGATGTTGGAGATGAAAGTTGCTGCCGAGCCCAATGCTGCTGTGTCTTGTTCCTTGATTGCAGTGTGCCTCTATTTGTGCAGCTAGGTATGTGTGTTTCTACCCAATCCCTTCCTTAAGTGCTGTTTGCCCAGGCCTGGACAACAACGACACGTTGGTCTATGAGCTCCCCCCCGAGTTTGAGGCCGTGCCCGAGTTTTCGGCCCAGGCTGGGTCGAAGGCTGGGTTGACAGTGCAAGCGCCTATGGATGCAAAGGAAGATCCTTCGGGTGTCGGCATGCTGATACGGTGTGTTCCTCTGGGTTTGGGTGATGATCACGCAGAGGAGAGGGAGGAAGAGGAGGAGGAAAGTGATGAATGTGTGGAACCTGAGGACCAAGCTTCGGTTGGACATGAAGATGCAGATGAGAAGGAAAAGGAGGATCCAAGTGAGGAGACCCACGCAGATGAGAAGGAAAAGGAGGATCCAGGTGAGGAGGAGACCCATGCAGATGAGGAGGAAAAGGAGGATCCAGGTGAGGAGGAGACCCATGCAGATGAGGAGGAAAAGGAGGATCCAAGTGAGCCCCATGCTGCAACCCCTGGTAAGGAAACTGTGCACTATGATCGTGACGACGTGCTCCCTGGGTGTCCGATCAGCAACGATTTTCCAGCCATGACAGCAGCTGAGCAGATGTCCTTGGCAACCAAACCGAAAGCAAAGGGTAGAGGAAGGGGTGGTCGAGGTCGTGGCCGGGGAAAAGGTCGCGGGAGGGGCCGTTCTCGTGGCCGTGGACGTAGCAGTGGCGGTGGCAAGGATGATGATGTTTTGCCAGATGATGACAAGGATGGCGAGATCACCCCGACTGAGGAAGAGGCGAGCACTGATGATGAGCCGGCGGTTGAGCGCAAGCCCAAAAGGAGCCGCAGCGGTTCTGAGGAGGAGGATGAGGCTTGCAACAAGAAAGCAAAGAAGGAGAACCGCAAGCGCAAACGTAGCCCAGCAACCACCCCCGAAGCCAAAGCAGGAAGCAAGCCGAAAACAAGTGCGAAGCAGAAAGCAGCAGCCAAGCCGAAAGCAGGTGCTAAGCCGAAAGAAACAACAGCCAAACCCAAAGCAACAGCCAAGGCCACTGCAAAGGCCAAGGCAACTGCAAAGGCCACTGCAAAGGCCAAGGCAACTGCAAAGGCCAAGGCAAAGGCCAAGGCCACTGCAAAGGCCACGGCCACTGCAAAGGCCAAGGCTACTGCAAAGGCCAAGGCGAAACCAGGTGCTGGCAACGACCAGACGGAGCGCAAAGCAAGGCTGTCACGTAAATCAATAGCTTACCATAAAGCTATGAAGCAAGGCAAAGCCGAAGGTAAAGATGAAGATGAGTGCAGAGCGATGGCAAAGGCAGTCCCTAGGCTGTGTGTGCAATGTACATGTGAGCGGCTGACTAAACCTATGGTTCGACGAAAAGCCCGCGAGAACTCAGGTCGGCCCCT